AAATCCTTAGTAGGTCTCGCCCGCCTCGTCGCTTTGTCAGTAAGTGGTTCATGAATCCCCCATCGTGTTTTTTTTAAGTTGTAGTACGAACTTTCAGAAAATTTCAGTGAGGGGAGTGGGGGCTTTTTGTAAGTCTTGAATTTCCCGCGATTTATTTCCTTCATTCTTCCCATGTTGCAACATAAATGACGATTGACAATACTAGTTTATAGCCACTGTAGCCTCAGCGGAAATGGCTAGTGATGATGAAATAAAAAAGAACAGTGAATCTGAGGGAAATGTCATGGCAGATATATCCGCTGTGACTGAATCCCGCACAACCATTGAAGCTGTTAATTTTAATAATTCGAGCAATTTGGTAACTTATAAATGATTCATATTCAACAACTCACTGACACAATAATTAGGGAAATATACACTAATGGGGTCATACTGCTGATTATTAACCGACTCGACTTCTGCATAAACGGTATGGGCTGTAACTTGTTATTCTCTAAAACAAGTTGTTATGGCAACATACATTTATGGAGCAACATAAAATGTTAAACCATATTTCTACATATGTCCTTTGTCGTCTCAAAAACTGGAAAATAAAATAGCCTGTTTTTGTTGGTGACAGTTGGGAATGATACCAAGAGTTAACAATTCCATGAGAACATCGCAATGTTCTTTTAACACATAAAACGGATGTGCATTGGTCGAATTTTGTATAGTTCCAATAGGCATACAAGCACCTGTATATATTTTGACAATAACTCCCTCATTCACAATGTGTAAATGAAACAAGACATTAAACCATCTGCATAGTAACAAGTAAGTGTTGTATAAACCCGAATGAAAAGACTGGAGTCACGGCGAATACTTCTAGCGAGTCGCCCCTCTGAAAACGTCATTACTGTGTAAATGACATTGAATTTTGCTCTTCCATAAAACAGCAGTTTCCATCTTCAAATAATCAAAATAACCTTGATACCCTGGCAAAGCATGTCTATTATTTCACAAAGATTGTTCCAAGGGATTTTCGTCTTCTCAATTTCTCAAGATAAACGTCCCAAGGTTGCTTTGTTTACTAGAAGGACATGTCTTTTGGCAGCATTTCTTGTATTAATTTCCATTGCACAAAAAAGTAGCAAATACTGTTACTGAAGCACAGAGTTTGCATGATTTTTTCTCCACGGCCATTCATGCAAACTGCAAATGAAGTCTTTTACCTCATCTATAGTTGTTGACACTTTGCAACCGCCTTGATGGATGTATTGTGACGTATTTTGACCCCGGATTCTGACCTTGCAGTCTGGCTACATTTACTGCCCTTTCATACCAGATCAATTTCCTTTCATTATTACATCCAAATGTAATGATATTTAATATTTGAAACCAACCTTTATTTCACAGTCACTTTAGTTTTCACTTATCTAAAATTATTTTACTGAGCAAAAGACTTTTCACTCCCATCATGTAATCTCCAATAGTACTTCCACAGACACAGTGGCGATCGCCAACATAACTACAAATAACCTCGCTCTCAGGAGCTGAGGAATTACAAGATAAATGATTTGCTTCATTGAACACAGATAACAATGCATATTTCCACTGAGATCAGTGACCTTTGAATGTGTGTCACCAGTGATCAGTCAAGTAGAAACAGTCAAAACATTTTCTCAATTTGTGCATGATATTTTCATACAGGACATCTGTTGTTCCTACTCAGGGAAGACTTTATACTAATGAATATGGTGACCAAGTTTGATAACATTTGGAATAGAATTAGTAAAGTTATTATTGTGCCATAATAACTATTATTAACGACGACAACGACGAAGACGACAACGCCGGTCAGAAATGTTTCCCTTAATATACCTTTCCCTTTCATCTTTGATGCTACGGGCAAGGTACAAATCACAATACAACACAAAGTAAATACCCTTGCAGTATATGTTCTACCGCCAACTCTGTCTCTTGCTTCTAACAATAGCACATCAAGTCCTTCTTCGTGTAGTAGTTTGGCCGCAGACGTACCTAGAATGGAAAATTACACTATAATATGCGCACTACTGCCATTCAACATATAGACTTCAAACGATAAATTAATTTAACAATACTATTGCAAGACGCCGGGACATTCAAACCCCTCGTGTTGCCCTTATGTATGAACTATGAAGGGATTGTATATTAAGATTAATTAAGGAATCGTCTTTGAGAATGAATGTTTTAATTAGAGCATCTGACGTAATCAGGTGATTTAACAGACTACAGCATATCCTAAGAATTAGCAGCATAGGTAGTACTATATTAACCGAATTTATTTTTCTCGCCACAAAAAAACGTAATACAATTATTTTGGTCTGACAGTTCATGTTCTTTTCATATTATCTTGTTCTTTTTCAGTCACTGTAAAATGACATTGTCCTCTGTAACATGTTATGTAATTGCAATGAGTATACCTTGAGGCCGGAGGCCTACAGTATTATGAATACATTTATTATAGTTAATAACCGAATGAAAGTACACTTAGATAGAAATATTACCACTAATGTCCTTAAAACGAGCGCATTATATGTTGCAGTTACTGTGTCGGGCTAGGAAGTGAATAAATGGACGGTCCCGACGTAAATATAAATTAGAATTATAATGTAAATAATACATTATTTATAACTCATCTCATTGTACTGATGGTCATACCGTATGGC